GTTGCTATTCACATTATATATGGATGAAATAGCAGCATAGGCGAGTAAAAGACTAGGTAAAAGGCGAACAGAAAAGACGTTTCTGGGGTGAAGGAATTTGCTTCCAGTTGTAATTCAGTGTCTTCTAGAGGCGGACAATATTGTCCTAATTGCGGATTCCGTGGAGAAATTACAGCAGGCAGTTGATGAACGGAACGAAGAGCTCCGCAGGAAGGATATGATCATCAGTACAAGAAAGAGCAAGATCCTACAGGTTGGAAGGGTACAGGAAGATGTTACAGTTTATTGCAACAGAGAGGTGATGGAAGTAATGTCAGATTTCATCTACCTTGGTGTTGTTATGGATCGGTCTGAGAAAGTGAATTCAGAAATTCTGAACAGGATAAGCTATATATTACCAGATCTGCAACACTGCAATCGGAAAGAGAGAAGTGAGCAGAGGTGTGAAACTGCACATATTTAAGGCAGTATACCTGTCTGTACTCCTTTATGGTGCAGAAAGCTGGGTGCTGACTGACAAACGGGAGAAAAAAATCACTGCTGCAGAAATGAGGTTGGGGGTTCTCCCGATGAAGGATGCCCTAAAGACTCTCTCCCAAAGTGATTTGGGCATGTCGTTAGGATGGAAGAAGACCCTGCGGTAGACCAAGAATGTCTTACCTCAAATACTTAAAACGTCTGTGCAAAAACAGAAATAAGAATATACGCCAAGCCAGAAATCTTGCAAGAATCAGGGAAAATTGGCAGTCCTGGTTAGACGCTCCTGTATGCTGAAAGGCACTACAGGGTGATGCAAAAGAAGAAGAAGATACTCAGTAGACGCAAAAGTTAGATGCGCTACAACTTTTAATGTATGAGTTTTTTCTACTAGAGAACTCATTCCAATGTTGCAGAGCCATTTATAGTAATTTGTCTCAGTTTTGACAAATTTGTAAAAATCAGTATTCAATGACCATAATTTTTGACAATACTACTTAATCAATTTATTATGGTTTCGTACTCATTCAACACAAAATTTAACGTTCTTTAATTTCTTTAAAAAATATGTTTTTTGCTTTGATTATAGTTATATGTGAAAAGACTAAAATATTATCGAAAAAAACTGACTTTATTGGCTGTAAAAAGTTTTCCCATTGTGCCCTACATTAGCTATTTTGTTTTTTACTTATTTGAACTCATATATAAAAGTTAAAAAATAGAAGCATTTTCCACATTTTTCATAATATATTGCATTTTTTGCTTTGATCCTCAAGTTACTAGCCTAATATTTTTTGAATCGGCAGCTATTTTTGAAAGAAATGGCTCTGGAATGGTAGACAAGGTTCATTTTACTTATAATAACACACATTTTTATAGTTTACATCAAATGTCAATATTGTCAACATTACATTGTCTGCGAGTACCATTTTTAGGCCAAGACTCAAAGGCTATAAGCCCAGAATGTTCCCAAACAAGATGCTTTAACAGAAGCACTGATCTTGAAACAACTTCACTGAGTAAGACTCAGTGATGAATCACTGGAATATCCCATATAGGATGGCACTGGGCAAGCTGATCCCACTACAGAAGATAATCTTGTAGGTAACTTACTCTAGGGATAACCCATTTCAAGACAATGAAAAAGATGCATTTGTGAGTTGCATCATGATATATATATATATATATATATATATATATATATATATATATATATATATATATATAAACTAGACAGCAAAAAAATCGCGCACCCTATATTTTGTTGTTTTTCCTATTTAGCTCGAATTAGTTGATGTTTTTTTTTTGGCGTGCCAAGTTGAGCTCATATCCCATGAGTGAATAGTAGGGCGCAGATTAAAAAAAAGAGAAAATAACCATACAAAAAAAACTACTTACACATCGTGAATATTGTGAAAAATTAATTTGATTCTTCTTCTTAAAAAATTGGTGCAAAGTTAACGATAAACTTTTTTAGTATCGTGTGTTGCCTCCCCTTGCTTGTATTACCGCCTGCATTCTTCTTGGCATGCTGCTGAATAAATTGGTCCCATTCTGCTACCACTGCGGTCCTGAGGCCTTGGAGGTCCAAAGGAGGGTTTGGACGCCTTCGGATGCACCTCCCTAGCTCGTCCCATAGATGTTCAATAGGATTGAGATCGGGGCTGCGGGCTGGCCACTGTAGGGTGCGTGTACCAACCTCTTCGAGGTAGTCAGTAGCAACATGGGGCCGCGCGTCGTTATCGTGCATAAAAATGAAATTTTCACCGATGAATGGGGCGAATGGGACTACATAATCTTCCAGAATGTCAGGAATGTACCTGAGTGCAGTTCCCTCTTGGAAAAATATGAAGATCGGTTATTGCTCCTGAAGTGATTCCGCCCCAAACAATTACAGACCCACCACCGTAAGGCACCCCTTCAGAAATATTGCATTGTGAAAAAACGCTGTCCCGGCCTTCTCCAAACTCTAACACGGCGATCTGAAGAAAATAACCTGATAATGAGAACCTGGACTCATCTGAAAACATTACATGCCCCCATCGTCTTCTGACCAAGCTGCGTGTTCCCGAGCAAATGTAAGACGAGCTGTACGATGGGCTGTGGTGAGTTGAATCGCAGTAGCTGGGACCCTCGATCGAAGGTTAACTTCAGCAAGCCGCCTAGGCACTGTATCAACACTAATATTCCCAATTCGGGCAATTCGAAGGCGCTGAGTGGTTTCTACAGCCGTCTGAACGTGGTTTTGCAGAGCCTGCATCGTAATAAATCGGTCGTCTGCGGGCACTGTCACTCTCGGTCGGCCTGATCCTGGTCTCCTCTTGAAGCTACCAGGCTCCCTGTACCTTTGGACTGCCCGACGAACAGTAGTTTCTGGTAGCCCTAACGTTCTAGCCACATAACGTTGACTTCTCCCATCTTCTACCAACCCGACTATCTGGGCGACTGTTTCGGTGGTTAGAACCATTCCTCAGAACCGAACAATCACAAAACAATCGAACAAATGAGTTGAAAAAAAACAAAACACAAATGTGATCTTAGCGCGAACGACAACTGAATAAACGACAAGTGATGAATTGAGGGAAGAACAGCAAATGCAACACTAAGAGATAAACAGGGTCAAAATTACGCATATTCGAATGGACCTTGAGGTAATCATACTGTGTTATTGTTATGAAAGACTATACTAACCATCTCGAAACAACAATTCATTTAAAACAGACATTGGACATGGATTTCTACACAAACACGAGGTGCGCCGGTTTTTTTACTGTCTAGTTTATATATATATATATATATATATATATATATATATATATATATATATATATATATATATATATATATATATATATATATATATATATTATATATATATATATATATATATATGCTCAGTATAGACCCACTGAGGAACATAAGGATCTTTGAAATTCTGTGGATAGACAGGTAGGGCACATCTCACCGTAATGTAAGAACAAGGAAAACTGAGCATTATGAATAAGGAAAGCTTTAGGCTTTGTAACATTACGTTATAACCGATAAGGAAGGAAGAATAATTATCTTTAAACGTGAATTTATCCAGAAAACTTTAGGCAATTACACTAGTACAGCTTTCTGTAAATATTATTTGTAGTTATTATTAATGAAGCACAGGGACAAAATTGATAAGTAGCCAAAACAGGGAATAAAGAGGAATGCTACAGATCCATCAGCCTGATACTATACCCAACAAAATTGCTCGAGAAAATTATTTTTAATTATCTGAAAGATTTTTGAGAACTCTGTAATCCCCCTATAAGCACTTCAACATGAAACACCACCTCCTGAAACATTAGAGATATGCTGAGAATCCAACAGAAATACATTAGAAGCTTTGATTTCTTTAGACTGGATAAAAGTTTTAGATCCTTTGTCTCAATGTATTTTATGTTGTAAGCTTATAAACCCTGTGCCTGGAATAGATCTATCTATAAAATTATAGATATTTTATCAAAAAATAAAATAAAGTATTATTGTTTTATTTCTTAATAACCAGTGCCTAGATTTATCCATTTATGATAAATTATCCAGTTCCATTGTAGTCCTATCTCTTGTTTTCTTCTCTATATAATCAACAGTGATAATAGACATGACTATAAACAAGCAACTATTGGCGCCTATACTAATGATGTTGCTGTTTATAGCAGCAGCCTTAATTCCCCTATAGCACTTCATCAGACTGAAACTGTAACTGAAATAGTAGAAAAACTACAGCAACTAAACATTAAGATAAACACGAACAAGATGGACCATGTGGTGTTCGCCTTGCGGAGAGGGAAGAAATCTAGCTTGCTGCGACCATTTCCAATGCAACAGTTTATTTGGGAATAAAGCTGGGCCATCAAAAGATGCTCTTAACTCACTGCTTTCAAAACATCTGTTCCATCAGAAGAATATCAAATATGCTTGATCACTTACTCTTGTCTCTTGTCCCATAACTACGGCTTGAAATCAAAATCTATAAAGGTCTACTTAGAACAGCACTTCTGTATGGAGCTCCACTATTCACGCATCTCTGAGATGTCACACATCTTTATCCTCAACAACGTCAAAATACTGTACCATGGTATGGTCTAGGTTGATGCAGAAGAGCAATCGCACGAGTTCTTTGAACCACCTTGTGCATCACAGTTAATAAAATGAAGGTTATGTCAAGGGGAAGCCTAAATTCAAGGCATAATAAAAAATAAAAAAAAATTAAACTATAATTAGTCAGAAATACTGTATTACATCAAATATAAGACACGTTTGAATTTAAAACACAATTGTTTTTCCATTGTTGAATTGTTTTCCATTACTGATTTTCAATGTTTTCTATTGTTATTATTTCTATCATTCAAGGTTGTAAAATAGATACGTACATAAATTGAATTTTAGACTTTAAATTTAAGATTAATACCATTTTAAAAATTTATTTATGAAAAATTTGTATCTTAAATTTAATGCATTACAGTAATAAAATATGGATTTTTATTTTTCAGACAAATGTAAATCTGTAGAATCAAGGATAGAGCTTTTTAATAAAGAGTTATTTCCGGCACATCCTCCTGTGCTGGATAAGTGGTTTTTTTTGCAGTTTTCCAGTCCTGACTCATGGTAACTAATTGTGATTTGCATGTTGAAAATTGATTTTCATCTATAAAATGTGAATTAAATATAAATACATTTAAAATAGATTGGTTTGCATATATAATTCAATTATATATATTTAAAAATACATTATAAATCTTTGAACACATCTTATAATTACCAAACCAGTGTTTAAAAAAACAAGCAAAAAAAATATCAGCAGTAAAAATACTCCATTGGCCATACAAGGCTCTGTATCTAAAGGAATATATAATTAATCAGTGCTAGAGCTAGCATTTATAAAAGCACAACAATTCACAGAGGCCTCACTTCTTAACTTTATAGTCTAAGCACATGACACCCCTATACGAAAGTGACTAAGTATTGAAATAATGCAAAAATTAAAATAACCATAAACAAATCTGGTGCGCGCAACACACAACTTTCATTTACTGCTCAACTTTGAGTAGAAATTATTTTCTGGCCATGTTGGGCTGTTATAAAATTTTTGAATAGCATTTTTAACCTAGCTAAAGCTAAATGCTTAAAGTTAACAAATCATAAATACCATTAAAATGACAAAAGTCACTGGTTGATTATGGGTTGTACGATCCGTTGATTATGGATTGTACGACTATTAGTTATTAAACTGTTATTTTCCATTGCAAATTCTACTAAAATTGAATTAAGAGATTTGCATTGTCTGTCATAGATAGGTCAAAAGTTGTCACACTAATTGGAAGTGGATATTGTTGGAGTATCACAGAGGGAAAATTCATCAAATTATTCACTAATTTAATTTTCTAAAAGGTTACATGATGATTTTTCGGAATAAATGGACGGAGATACCTAATTATTTAAATATAATATCAAATCTTGAGTTATTACACGACAGCAAATGTATTTAAAGTTATAAACATATGCTTTATACACCCATGAAATGATTTGATATTTCACTTCTTTCACACAAATACAATGAAATAGTTTCTTAAACACTGTCATTGCCTTGAATCTATGGATTTTAAATACTTTTTCAAACTTAGAAGTATACATTTAGAAATAGAAAATAACTTTATTCTGGGATGAAGTCCCTTAAGAATAACAGAATATCACAGAAAAAAAAAAATAACATCTGACCAGAAAACTTGTTACATTAAAAAGTAGCTAGATAAAAAGCTTTATGTAAATAAACTATATACATATATATAGAATAGAATAGAATAGAATAGAATAGAATAGAAGAATCAACTTTATTCTGGGACAAAGTCCCTTGAGAATAACAATATTGTACATAAAATTAACATTACATCTGGCCAAAATGCATATTACAATAATAATAAAAAAAAAAATGTAATAAAAGAAGTATTTACATAACTGTACAGATATAGTAAAGACATAATATGAGCAATAAGGTCCTAATACTACAAAATAGTTGCTATAAACAATAGGCTATGGCATTATAACTGAAATTTGAAATGAGCGACAAATAACTTTTGTTGTCATGCCATTGTATTAATGAAAAAAATAATAAAAGAGTGGATAAATATTTACTTTAAATGATTTACATATGTACCTTAGTATGTTTAAAGAATACAATAATAGTATTGTAAACACTATACAAGTCCTATATAATCTAAATTCTATGATGTTGATTGATTGGAGAAAATAAAGGATAATATACATATAGAGGAGATTATATACATAAATAATATACATGATAAATGGCTACCCAGCATCTGATTGAATTGTAAGGAGGAATTGGAATAAGAGGGTTTTAAATGAGGATAAGGATGGTTCATGGCGGATTTTAAGTGGGATGGAATTCCAAAATGTGGTGGAGCGGACAATAAAGGAGTATTGAAATGAGGCCGATTTGTGGAAAGGGGTATAAAGGTCAGAAGGACGAGATCTTGTGGAGAGGGAGTGGATAGATGACTTGAATTGAAGGAGATTGAATGCGTAGGATGGACGATGATTATAGATTATTTGGTAAAGGAATGTAACTAGGAAATACTGTATTCTGAAGGAGGGAAAGAGCCACCCTAACTCGGCGTAATAGTGGGAAAAATGAGAACTTCTCGGGGTTCCATTGACAAATCATACTAAGCCATTCATTATTCTTTTCAGTCTGTCTCCAAGTTCCGATGAGAGGCCACTGTACACTACGCAGCCGTAGTCAATGTGGGGGACGATGAGGGCGGATACTAGGAGTCTACGTGTGAATATAGGTAGGAGATGGCGGAAGCGATGGAAGAGTTTCAGGATGGAAATTGAACGTCGGGATATGAGGGAAATATGGTGATTCCAGGAGAGGGTTTGATCTATGATAACACCTAAGTTTTTAACTGAAGTGTTGAAGGTGATGGGTTGGTCATTTAGGTACAGGAGAGGAATGTTGGTATTGGATCTGAGGTTTGGAACCAATGACAATGGCTTATGAGAAGGAGTTAGTCGAGGGTGCGGTCAAATAAATAAAAAAAATTAAAATATATAAATTATTTTAATTTTTGCCGACGTTTCGACCCACTTTGCAGGTCGTCTTCAGGGCTACAAAAGATACAAAACATGTTGAAAATAAAAACATGTCGTTTTTTATTTTCAACATGTTTTGTATCTTTTGTAGCCCTGAAGACGACCTGCAAAGTGGGTCGAAACGTCGGCAAAAATTAAAATAATTTATATATTTTATTTTTTTTTATTTATTTGACTGAAACCTCGACTAACTCCTTCTCATATTATATCAACGGTCAACCATCTCTACATCATTATGACAATGGCTTATGTTTTAGCAGCATTTAACCTTAATCCATTTTCACTTGCCCAGGCTCAAATCTGATTTAGATCTTCTTGTATTTTGGCAAACGCATCATGCCATTCAGAGGGAACAAAGGAGAGGTAAATTTGGGAATCATCGGCACAAAGGTGATGGGAACAGTGAAGGATTGATTTAAGAAGATCGTTAATATATGAACTAAAAAGTAGAGGAAGCCCTGGAGCCCTGTGCCACTCCTGAGGACCACTAGCGGATCCAGGATTTATTTCTGGGAGGGGGCTTAAGCCCGAAAGTTATTTTTTTCATAAAAATAACGATAATTACTTTGGAAAAAAAGAAAGAAACTAACTACCTATATGAAATGGTGTTTAAGTGATCCCTAAAGCCCTTTTAAATGTAATTATACGAACAATAATCCTTTAAGAGATACTTTTTAAATATTTTTTTCTATAAAACATGGTTATATTTTACCATTTTGGGGAGGGCTTCAGCCCGAAAGCCCCCCCTCCCCCCCCCGTAGATCCGCCCGTGCTGAGGACAGAGTTAGATAGGATGATAAAGGTTGGTTGGGAATAGAGACTGCTTGGGTACGTTGAGAGAGGAATGATTGAAACCAAAGGATAGAGCTGTTGGAAAAGGATAACAATTTCAATTTGGTGAAAATTATGGAATGGTTAATGGTATCAAAGGCTTTGGAAAAGTCTAGGAGTATAAGGACAGTTAGTTTTTTGTCATATATGGCGGACTGAACATCACTAATGATTTTGATTAGGGCGGATTGCGTGGAGTAGCCTGGTCGAAAACCAGACTGGTTAGGGTCAAGTTGATTGCACTGTTCTAGGAAGTTGGAAACTTGGGATTGGACTGTTCGTTCTAGAGGTTTTGCAAGGTTAGAAAGGATTGAGATTGGACGGTAATCTTCAGGTGAAGAAGGGTTAGGATTTTTAAGTAAAGGACCGACAATAGCTTTTTTTCCATGAGGAAAGGAATATTGTGTTCTGAAGAGAGAAATTGTAGATGAAAAAGAGAGCGGGAAGGATTTCAGGTAGGCACAATTTGATTAATTTGACAGGAATACCATCTGGACCAATGGAATTGGAATAAGATTTCATCACGGCAGATATGAGGTCTGTAGGAGAAATATCTGAAAAATGAAAGTTGTCGTCATTAAATGATATTCCAGGAGTAAAGAAGGAAGAGGTTGATGGAGGAATGGAAGAGGAAGCTGATATAAAATATTTAAATCATCAGGTTTGACTGGAAAGACTTCTGAGGAAGGTGATCTGGAAGATTCACAGAGGGAGAATTTACGAAGGAGTAGCCATTTGGTTTTGGAATCAGGAGCTGATGAAAGGGCTTCGTGGAAATATGTGGATTTGGCTCGTCGAATTTTGGTTTGTGTCAGGTTACGGAGCACCCTAAACGCTTGGTAGTCGTCAGCGAGCCTAGTACGTCTAAAGCGTCTGCAGGCAGCATCACGTCTCTTCTGAAGATCTTTAATTTGCTGACACATCCAGGGAGCCGGGGGGCGATGAAAGATCGAGGTTTTAATGGGAGCATGGGCATCAAGGATATTAAGGAGGTTGGAAGTGAAAATGTCTACCATAGAGTCAATACAGGAACTGGAATATATTCCATTCCAATCAAGCGTTTCCAGGTAGGGTTATATTTTTTCACGAGTGAGGACAACAATACGGAAAGTTATGGTTCTAGGTGGAATCGGAGGAGTATGGATGTTATATGAAATTTGGATTAGGTCATGAGAGGATAAAAAGGAGACCGGTACTTGTGAGGAGGAAAGGAGGTCCTGAGAGGAATCGATAATGTAATGGTCCAACCAAGTATCGGACCTTGGGCTATGATGAGTGGAAGAAAAAGGAACAATGAAAAGATGAAGAGAGAAAAAAAGCTTTTTACGATTAGAAACTCTACATGTGGGTGATTGGATGGAGGAGAGCAATGGAGTATTCGGGTCTTCAGGCATTCGTGAACATACAAAGCTACACCTCCTCCAGCCTGGCTCGTCTGGTCGTGGCCGATTAGTGTGTAGTTAGGAAGGGAAACAGATGTGAAAGGGATGTAAGGCTTGAGCCAGGTTTCAGAAATTTAAATGATATGGTAAAAATTGTGAGTAAAGTATTCTAGGAATTCATCAAAATGAGCTGGGAGGGTTTGGGAGTTGGCATGGCAGGTAATAAGGATGCTAGACATGATTAGGATTCAGGAAAATAAGGTCAGAATTTGATGAACAGAC